TCATGAACCCACCAACATAGCCTCAAGGTATCACACCTTGGCACATTTGGTGTCTCCACACCATCGGCTCCACCAGCCTACCTCTATAACACTTCCCCTTCGTGTATAAGTCTTTTGCCAAGACCGACACCGCTCTTTCTCATGCCAACCATCCGTTAGCACTGCACCATAGAGGTCACACACAACTTTGTGTCAAAGTTGTTTTCTTCTGGGAACACCTTTCCCATAACTTTAGCATGGCACATTTTGCCATCGATGAGATACCCTCTGTTCTCATCCTTGGATCCTATGATCCCCCCCCCCCCCCCCCCCCATCCTTTGTGGGGTACAACACACCTCCTCAGTCCAAATGTTTCCATCAGTCCTTTTAGGACCATCCCTTGACTCCACTTGAGTCATCCAGCAGTTTTGGACTTGGTTAATCCACAGATCCGTAAGGTCTTACTTGTGAGGCACTATCTCACTGGAATACACTTCTTGCATTCCTGTCCTACTCAAAAGGACTATTTTCACAAGTGTTACTCTGACACTTGATTTTGTTCTCTGGGGGCAACCTTTGCCCCTTAGGACTACTTGTCCATGTGATGAGAATACCACTCATCTCTAAGTACACCCCCCAACTCCTTGGGTTGTTCCAGCATTTATTAAAGGTAGCCCCGGCTACCATTTCAAGGACTTGAGTCCTCTTCCGTATTTGACCTCCCACGGTCATTATTTCTGGTCTCACATTCATGAGCACCAACCTCAACTATATGAGGATAATCTTGTGACTCCTTTATCGCTTTGGAGTCTTTATCTTTCCCGTGATCCCAACTGTAATTGTTTACCACAACTACATTAACCAGTTTACTAAGTCAAACGCTCATCTGGATCACATCCTCAACTCTCTGAGGAAAACCATATACTGTTCCCAAGATCCCAAAGTCGTTCCATTATTGGCCCTTTTCTATCCACCACCTTGTCTACAAGTTCTCACATGAACTGTAATGGAGAGCCATGTCTTCTCGACCTGCTACTCCTCAAGGATAGGCCCACTCCTCGGACCTTCTGATGCCAACACCAGTGGTGATATACTTGAGCACCAATAAAAGTCGGACTAAGGAACAACTCCGATACCAAGTTGTAAGCAACTAATTTTTCCATTTTACTTTAGTCACTTAACCGCACCTCCGACCACTTGGAGGAGTCTCATTCACAACCTCCATAAGTCCCAGTTAGGACTTGGGGCATGCTAGCCCTGAGAATGGCATCCTTGCCACTCAACCTTTGCACTTGGTCCAAGTGCTCCACATGTCCGATCCCATGACCGACACCCCAAGGTACCTCTGACATATCGGCCCGTTACACTAAGGCTATGTCCATTCACCTTGGTCACATTGGTGGTCCAACGCCACTTGCATTCCAAACCCGTCTCTCAAAGACTGGGTCATCCGTCCACGAGTGATCATCCCAGATCCACTCCTTAACATCCCTAGAAGGCCTATAGATATGGGGAATAGCCTTCCCCAATATCTCTGTTCCAGTCCCTACTAAGTCCCTTTCTGCCCTTGGCCGTGTTTGCCAACACTGCCACTGGATCGGGGCCCACAGGCCCGACCACTAAGTCCCACGGTCCTCTGGGACTTCCTCACCCCACGACCG